TGTCAGCTATGGATTTTCTATCCTCAGCATCACTACACAAACTTGAATCAATGTATCCCCCTATCTTGCATTCTTTTCCTTCATCAACTGCAGAAAACAAAATGTCGTAGTCGAGAGTTCCTTTCAGATACCTCAGTATCCTTTTTTGTCGCTGCTAGGTGTGATACATTTGGCTTCTACATGAATCTACTTACCATACCCACACTGCATGCTAAGTCAGGCCTTGTGTGACAAAGGTATCGAAGTGACCCAATAAGTCTTCTATATTGGGTTGGATCGACATCATCTTCATCTGAATCCTTCGACAGTTACAATCTGGTCTCAACTAGAGTCGAAGTTGGGTTGCAATCTTGCATCTCAAATCTCTTGAGTATTTCGCCTGCATATCTTCTTTAGTGCATCATCAATCCTCTACTACTCTTGTAGATTTGGATGCCAAGGAAATATGAGATATTTCCCAAGTCTGACATTTCAAACTTCTCACTAAAGTTATGTTTGAACTCTTCGATCTCCTTCTTGCAACTTCCTGTTACCAACAGGTCATCGACAAAGAGACATAGTATAAGCAATTCACTATTGCTTCTCCTTACATATACTTCATACCCAATTATGTACTTCACAAATTCCTTCTCCCTTAGAAAGCTGTCGATTTTCTTATTCCAAGCTCTTGGAGTTGGCTTAAGTCCATACAAGGATTTATGCAGCCTGTACACCTTTCTTTCTTCGCCTTGTTTCACAAACCCAGTTGGTTGTGTGACATAATATTTTTCGTCTAAGGGGCCATTCAAGAATGCACATTTCACATCCATCTGACATGTGTGTCAATTGTTCATGTGTTGCTAGACCAACAACCAATTTGATTGTTTCGATCCTAGCAACAGGTGCAAAGACTTTGTCGAAGTCGATTCCTTCCTTCTGAAGAAATCACTTCGCCACAAGTCTCGCCTTGTATCGAGTTACCTCTCCTTTAGGATTCACTTTCACCTTGTAAACCCACTTCACATTAATTGTCTTCTTGCCTTGAGGCAATTCGACAAGTGAGACTGTGTTGTTGACTTTGATGGAGTCTAACTCCTCATTCATTTCTTTCACCCACTTTGAATCTTTCAATGCCTCAGTTGCATTGACTGGTTCGACATCTGCATAGAAAACATAATGTACCAGCTCACCCTCTTCATCGATCACATCATATGATGTAATCACACATTCTTGCAACCTTGCAGGCATGTGTCTTGTTCATTGAGGTCTGCTTGGGCCTGCTTCACCTTTGACTTCTTCTTGTCGAACTTCTCTTTCAACTTCAGCGGCCGGTTCTTTACAAGAGATTCTCACCGAATCCTTCTTGACATTCTCAGTCCAATCTCATTCTTTAAGCTCATCTATGATCATGTCTCTACTGATCACTACTTGCTTATTCACTAGGTTGAATAGCTTATAACCTCTATTCGAATGATATCCTATCAAGATCATCTAATTCGACTTGTCATCAAGCTTTCTTCTCAACTGATCTGGCACATGTATATGTGTTATAGATCCAAACACTTTCAAGTGACTGAGGCTAGACTTGACACCAGACCAACAATCTTCTGGTGTGATTCCTTCAAGCTTCTTTGTTGAACATTTTTTTAATATGTATGTTGCTTTCGAGACCGCTTCTTCCTATAATTCTTTGGGTAGATGCTTTTCATACAACATACTTCTCGCCATGTTCATGATGGTTCTGTTCTTTATTTATGCAATTACATTTTGTTGTGGAGTGTAGGGTGGCACCACGTCATGCACATCCCTTCTTTTTCGAATTATGCATCGAGCTCTTTCGGCACATACTCTCCACCATCATCAGTCCTCGAAATTTTCAGTTTTCGACCACTCTATCTTTCGACCATAAATTAGAATCTGGAAAATACCTCGATCATATCACTTTTCTTCTTGATGAGGTAAGTCCACAAATTTCGACTGTAATCATCTATGAACGTGACAAAGTATTTGTTTCCTGCAATTGAATTCACCTGGATTGGACCATATACATCAGAGTATATGACTTCCAAAATTTCCTTCGACTTCCTTCATACATCCTTGCTGAAGTTATTCTTGTGTTATTTCGACTGAACACACCCTTCACAGACTTCACTTAGAATGTTGATTTCAGGTAATCCTGAACCCATATTTCTTCTCTTTAGCTCTCCGATATCATTGAAGTTGAGATGGCCTAGTCGAAAATTCCATAACCACTTATCTATGGTGGCTGCAGTTGCTAGGCACTTTTGCTCCATCATATTGAGTTTTATCTTGAAGGTCCTATTCTGAGAAATTGGAGCCTTCAAGATCAACCTACCACCTCCATTGAGAACTCTCATCATCTTGTCTTTGACAACTACCTTGTAGTTCCTTTCGACAAGTTGTCATATACTAAGTAGGTTACTTTTCATGCCTGGTATGTATAATACATTAGAAATTATTGATTTCTTGCCATCCTTCCTCACGACCTGAACAGCACCAACACCTTCAACTGCTAAAGTGTTGTCATTTGCAAACTTCACCATGTTCTTCGACGAGGGCTTCATTTTAACATACCAATATTTCCTTTCAGTCATGTGTGATGAGCATCTTGAGTCCAAGTACCACTGGTCCTGGAATCTCTCTTCGTCTTTTGTTGCGACTATGAGCAGCATCTCTTCTTCTTCATGTTTCTCCAGCTTTGCACCAGTTTCTTGATTCTTCTTCTTTTCTGGACAATCACTAAAATAATGACCATACTTTTGACAATTGAAACACTAAATGTGACTTTTGTCAAGCTTTCGACCACCACCTCTTCCTCTACCTGCAGTAGCACCTCTTTGTTTGCCTTGGTTTCAGGGTTTTCTCAAATTCGACCAGTTTCCTTCATGTTGATTTCGACCAGTCGAATTAGTGTAGCCTCTTTTACCTTTGTTGCCATTCCAGCTTCCTTTGCCTTTCTTTTCTTTTTCTGACTGCACCTGCAAAGCCGTATCACTCTTCGACTTTCATGCAGATCTTTCAACCATCCTTTGTTCATGATACTCAAGCGCCCCTTGAAGCTTTTCCTTCGTCAATACTGAAAATTCTTTCGAATCTTCTCTGGATATTACCACGTGGTCAAATTTTGGAGTCAATGACCTCAAGATCTTTGACACAACTGATCTTGATGTCAACACTTCTCCATATACCTTGATTTGATTCACCAGCTTTGTAACTCTGGTGAAGAAATCTGTCATACTTTCATTGTCTTCCATCAGAAGCAATTCATAAGTCCTTTTGTAAGTTTGTAACCTCATCTCTTTCACCTTCTCTACGCCTCCAAACAATTTTTCAAGAATCTCTCAAGCTTTTTTTGCTGATTCTACATCACTAACCTTTTCAAAGTTATATGGATCAACACATTGATGAATTATAAAAAGAGTTTTATAATCTTTCTTCTTCAATTCTTTATATGTTGATTTCTCCTTATTTGTCACAGTTTCTGCAAGTGGTGATAATCCCTCCTTCACAAGATCCCAAAAATCTTGGTATCAGAAAACCACCTTAATCTTCTTGCACCAATTCTCATAATTATATTTCTAGAGAACCAGAAGGTTTGTCGGAAAGTTTCTGTTTGGGTGATTCATCGCCATCACGATTTTCCTTCCTTGAATCGCAATTGAAGCTCTAGATACCAGATGTTGGAATTCAACACAATCTATGGTGAATTCTTCTCAATCTTGATCTCAAGATTGTTATGTAATGACAATGAATAAAAACAAGAACATGTTTAAAGAAGATGAGTATGAACTGCAAAGTAACTCTCTTCCCATAACTGTGGAATTTTATTATCACTTTGCATCTGCAAAACCGTGATTATCAAACTTGATTATTACAATGAAAAGAGTTATTCCCTATTTATAGATTTATTTTAACTTGCATCTCAAGCTAAAACCCAAACTATAAAAGCCCAAAAATATCTAATATAATATTTTTAAATCAAATTTGATCTTTCTAAATCAAATCTAATCTTTCTAAAACAATGAATTACATATTTAACACCTGCTACGTGACCGAAAGTGGACTGCAACACGTTATTAATGGCTAGGGGCGGCCACTGGCAAATGTTTATCGTAGTTGGACGTATGATAGAACGTATTCAGGAAGACGTGGGCTTAAACCACATTTTAAAGAAGGAGTTGTTGCATTTCTTACATATGTGTTTGCTCAAGAATATTATCAAAGTGAAGGAGGGGTATGATACATGTGTTTAAAGTGTGGTTGCAGAAATATAATTAGTGACCCAAATAAAGTGAAATTTCACTTGGGGAAAGATGGTTTTAGGCCAAATTATTAGGTGTGGTATTCTAACGGAGAAATACTGCCAGAGATGAATAGAGAGGTTTCAAGCAGTCAAACATATGTTGGAGTTGAGATAGATAGAGATACATCAAGCAGTCAACCACATATGCAAGACCAGGAACAATTTAATCTCATAGGTGATATGGTAGGTGATGCATTAGGGGTGAATGTAACTTATGATGAACCTCAAGATTTTGATGTAGATGAGCTCCTGAATGAGGAAGCGCAAAAGTTTTATCAATTGTTGAAAGAAATAAATAAACCACTATTTAAGGGGTCTTCTGACTCCATGTTATCCATGTGTGTGAGACTTTTGGCTTCAAATTAAAATTAGAATGTTCCTGATCAGTGTTTGGAATTCTTTGCAAAAATGATATTGGATGCAACTCCTGTGAAAGAAAACATGCCTACAAGTTATTATGATGTAAAGAGAATGATGTCGAAGTTGGGACTAAAAGTAAAAAAAGATTGATTGTTGCATTGGAGGTTGTATGTTGTTTTATGATAATGAGTTTGGTATAAATGATGGTGGATTGGAGGAATGTAAGTTTTGTCAGAGTCCGAGGTATTTAGTTCGCAGTAAAGGCGTTGATCAAAAGCAAAAACAAGTTGCAGTGAAGTCCATGTTTTATCTGCCAATAATTTCTAGATTGTAAAGAATGTTTGCATCAATTCATAGTGCAAGGCAAATGACATGGAATCATACATATTTCAATAGTTCAGGCATGATGCGATATCCATCTGATGGCGAGGCATGGAAACACTTTGATAGAGTACATACAGATTTTGCAGCAGAACCCAAAAATGTCAGGCTTGGATTATGCTCAGATGGTTTTACTCCTTATATCCAATCGTCAAAAATTGCCTATTCTTGTTGGCCAGTTATTGTTACCTCGTACAATATCCCTTTTGAGATATGCATGATGAAACCTTACATGTTTTTGACATGCCTCATTCCAGGACCGTTGAGTCCAAAAGCGGGAATAGATGTTTATTTGCAACCTTTAGTTGATGATTTGAAAAGGTTGTATCAGTGTTACTGAAATTGCACATAGGCTGGTAAATTTATTTATGTTTTTACTTAAATTTTCATTTAAAGTTTAGATTAAAACTAACTATTTTTTCACTTATGTTTCATTTTATTAGCGTGATGAGTTGGGTAGAACTTTGATGCTTAATGAGATCCATCTAAAGACTCATATCAAGAAAAATGGGGACTTTGTCGATAAACGCTCAAAAGACACTCAAGTAAGTTTTTTTTTTAAAATTTAGTCATTTTATTTATTTCTTTTATGTACCTATGTTATTTAAATTATGATAACATCTAACTTATTTATTTTTTATAGGAGGAGTATGATAAAAAAAACTTGCACTTTCTTTATCCGAGCATCCTGAGTTACCTCTATCGCCACAGGGATATCCTGTTGATCCTTTTCTAGGTTTTCGAACTTGGTATGAAGCTGCTCGCGGGAAGAGGTAAAATGGGAGAGTGTATGGTGCTGGAGGGTATGCAAAACAATCAAGCGGCGTGATAGGACATTCAGAATAAGACTTGATGATGGAGAATGATCATCACGTCCACCTATATTAATTATTGATATGCTTGAAGCTGTGAGAAGCTTGGCACAGACCGAGGCAGCATGCGAAGCAGCAACAAGACAAGCAGACATGGAGAAAATGAGGAGAAGATAAACATAGATGGAGGAAGAATTGAGGAGGAAACCAACAGAGTATGAGGAAGCAATGCAGATTGCAAATGACCGCGCACAGAAATTTGAACAATTTATGGGCTCGCATATGAATCAAAGTTTTGGAGAAAGAGATGAGGAAGATGAGGAAGATGATGAAGAAATTGATTAAATTTGTTGAAATATGAAACTTTTAATATGTATTTTTATATTTTATTTTATCTTTGTCATGAATTATTTTTATTTTGATGATGGATATGGATATTTAATTTTATTGCACTTTTAATTATAAATTATTATATTTTAAAAATTTTAAAAATATTTATTTATTTATTATATAATTATATTATTCTAATTATATAATATAATTAAAATAATATACTTATAAATTTTAATAATAATTTATTATATAATTATATTATTCTAATTATAATAATATAATTAAAATAATATAATTATAAATTTTAATAATAATATTATACACATTAGCTAGGGGTTAAACCCCTCACAAGTTCAAAAATGTAAGTCAATTTACTAGGGGCCTTAACCCCTCACAAAAGTCTGACACACACAGCTAGGTGTTTTATCCCCTCACTAAATGCATAACCCAGGTGCTTTAGCTAGGAGTTTATTTCCTAGAAAATCACATGACATGTTTGTGCCACTCTGTGGCATTAGTCTGTGTCTATGCCTGCAGCGGAGTAGGCTGAATTTTTTAAATGGCAATTTACGAGGGGCTTATCCCCTAGCCAAATTTGCAAGAGGTTTATTCCCTAACCATAAATTTGCGATGCTATGATTAGTTAGAGGTCATATTCCCTCGCAAATTTATGTTTTGTGATGGGTTTTTTTGCTTTAGTGAGGGGTTAAACCCCTAGTTAAATATTATTTTTCTTGTAGTGATTGTTTATGTAATAAAACATAATTATACTTCTTTTTTAAAATAAAAAAAATATATATCAATTTAAAATGAATTGTTATAGTTATAAAAAGTACAATAATTTATTTAATTAAAATTAAATACGATGATGAAAAAAATTATTTATTATTCATAAAAATATACATAGTTAATTTAAAAATTCAATATAAAAATATTGAAACTAAATATGACTTTTAGTATATTTTAAAATGTTTTTCTGCAAATCTTTAAATTCAAGAGATTTGAATAAGTTGTCTTTCTTTTAATACTAAAACATACTTATCTCATACTATCATTTATATATAGATTGGAAACAAATAATTGAGGAGCATCCCAGACTTCAATTTCCATTTTAAATGTGAGAAGCTGCATCTCATCAATTTAAATTATGTTAATGATTTATTGTTGTTTGTAAGAGATGTGTTTAGATCTATTGAGTTAATTATGAATGCTTTCAACAATTGCTCTAATTCCACTGACCTCAGAGTGAATCCATCAGTGTAGAGTTTATTTTAGAGTAGTTGACAGGCATACTAAACAGGATATTAAGGAGTTGGCTTCATTTAAAGAAGGATCTCTTCTCTTCAGATGCTTGGGAGTACCTCTTACTGGTAAGAAATGTTGTGAATTGATGTCGTTAAGAACAAACCAAAATATGAGAAAAGATTGAGTTTTTTGAACAAACACAAAAAACCCTATTAAGTTTTACAAAAGAAAGAGAGAAGATGGAAGAAGAAGAATAAAGATTGGTTAAATCTATTTTACTATTCAATTTCTCAATAAGGGTTCAAAGATTACAAGTGAATACCAACAATTAACCTCTCTTAACAACCTGAGAGGAGCAGTCTATTTATAGGTTACTGAGATAACTTATCTTACAAGTTAACTTAACAATTAGGCTTACAATCAAGGTCCAATTTTACATACTTACTTAAATTACAAGTTAATATATCTCGACAGCATGCTTGAGCAGACTTTGACTCCAGCATGCACAACTCCTGTTGAACCATGAAACTACCCTTGTCGACACTAGAGTTTGACCCAAAATACCACAAACCTCTACCTTGGAACAAACTTTGAACTAACAAGGTAACAAACTACTTTTTCATCATCCATGGCTTTTAGTTATTCATTCTTATTTCGACTTCTCATAACTTCCTTATAGTCTTTAGGTTCTTCGTCAAGAACCTCACTTGCATAGATTAAGGCATAAGCTATGAGATCTTTATAACCAAGTCTCTAAGGTGCCTTGATGACTCTTCTCGACCTATCTCTTGCCAACAGGTAGTCATTATCAGTCTCATCATCTTCATCAGCAACTTGAGATTCTCCTTTGACTTCATCTGGGTTATGCAATTTAGTATCACTATGATCCACCTCAACATAAGTCTCTTCCTGTTCCAGCTATTCTTCAAAGATCTTCAAACTTCGACCAATGCCATCAGTTTTCTTGAAATTCATCTCAGCTTCATTGAAAACTACATCTCGACTTGTGATACACCTCTTGTGACCTGGCTCTAGGCACCATAGCCTATAAGCTTTGACTCCTTCTGGGTATCAAAGGAACGTACATCTCAGAGCTATAGGTTCGAACTTGTCTTGCCTAATATGAGCATAGGCTAAAGAACCAAATACTATAAGTCTTGAGACTAGGTGGATGTCCCGGCTAGACTTCTTCAGGTGTCTTCATTTCCATGGTTGTAGAGGGACACCTATTTATCAAGTATGGTGTAGTCACACCAATTTATGCCCAAAACACCTTATTCAATCCCGCACTTACCAACATGCACCTCACCTTTTCAAGAATGGTTTGATTAAACCTTTCGACCAAACCATTTTGTTAGGGAGTCCTTGCAGTAGTTTTGTGTCTTGCAATACCATACGCAACACAATAGCTGTCAAAAGCCTCATTTCAAAATTCAAGACTATTGTAGGTCCTCAACCTCTTGACCTTCCTGCCAATTTGGTTTTTGACCATAGTATTCCAACTTTTGAAATTTTCAAAAGTTTCATTATTAGTATTCTAGATGAATGCCCATAACTTTCTGCAGTAATCATCAAATATAGATAGAAAGTACTTTGCACTTAAGTGTGAAGGATTCCTTGTAGATCCCCAAAGATCAGCATGAATGTAATCAAGGGATCCATGTGTTCTTTGTTTACCTTTGTTAAACTTCATTCTACAGGATTTACCAAATACACAAGGTTCGCAAAGCTCTAATTTTTCGACCTTATCACCACTAGCAGATTTTGTTTCGAGAATTCGACCAGGCCTCTTTCACTGGCATGGCTAAGTCTCTTGTGCCATAACTCAGTCTTTGACACAGGTTTCGTGGATGCCACATTTGCTGAACCAATTACAACCCCAGCCTCAAGGGTATACAAGCTTTGTTTCTTCACGCCTCTCAAGACTTTCTTCGACCTTTTCATTACCTTTAGGATGTTTTACTATCCTTTGAAAACATATCCTTTCTTTTCAAACTCACCAAGAGAAATAAAATTCCTCTTAAGATCAGATACATACTTAACATCAGTCAATAGCCTTATTAACTTCTCATGGAGCTTGAATCTCGTAGATCTAATACTTGTAATTTTGCAAGCTTTGTTATTTCCCAGCAGCACTGATCCACCATCTTGATCACACAATTCTTCAAACACGTCTTTTTTTGGATTCATGTGCCAAGTACATCCTGAATCCATAATTTATTCCTTGCTAGAGTCAATGCTTGAAACCACTAGGACATCAGATGATTCATAACCATCTTGCACAATGGTTGCATTACCATTATCCTTTCCACCATGATCGTTCGTCGATCAGGGCGTACTTTTCTTGTATGGCCCTCTTTCTTACAATCATAACACTTAACAGTATGAGTATTACCACCATAAGAATTTTGTATAACTTTACCCTTCTTCTTCTCAAACCTACCATCTTTCTTCAAGAATTTCCCTTTAACGAACAAACGTTCACCAATAGAAGAAGGCTTGTGCTCCTTTCATTCATTATAATCCTTAGAGTACAAGGCAGATTGAACATCTTCAAAGGTAAATGACTCTCTTCCGTACAAGATAGTTTCTTTGAAGTGAGCACGAGACTTAGGTAAAGAACACGACAACAACAACACTTGATCTTCATCATCAACCTTGACCTTAATATTTTCAAGATCAAGAATTAACTTGTTGAACATATCCAGTTGCTCAGCCAAGGCTTTGTCTTCACTCATCTTGAATGAATACAAACATTGCTTCATATAGAGACGATTAACCAACGATTTTGTCATGTACAAACCTTCAAGTTTAGTCCACACACCACCTGGAGTTTTCTCCTTTAAAATCTGTCGGAGAACCTTATCACCAAGGTTCAACACAATGGTATTGTAGACTTTTTTGACCATCATTGTCTTTTCCTTATCTGATAAGGTAGCATCCATCTTCA